AGATGATCTGCTCAGGTCCCTTCCGACCCTAGAAACTATGAAACTCCATCCCCACCTGCCTGTGCATACCCCCTAGGGCCTTCTCAATACCCCCAGTTGACAACCCCTGTAGTAGCTGTTTCTATGTGCTGAAAACAAACTAAAGCATGTTCTTGTACAAAGAAAAAAGAAATGTTCAAAGAAAAGCAAAAATTAAGATGCTTAAACATAACTGGTTTGTTAGGTAGTAATGAAACAGTTTTTTGCTATAGTGCAGCCACATGTCCCAACTACATCATCATCTAACTGTCAATATTCGCACAGAAAATGAACACTTCTGTGGATTCTACTTCCATCTTCTTTTGGGATGTCTAAGGTTGACAAAATATTACCATAGCCAAGAGAACATCAGCATTACTGACTTGAAAGTCCATGTATTCAAGTGCTCTTTTTCATTATGTGAACAATGAGGGTTACATTCTGTTTCAGAAGAACGGTTGGCAGAAAAGGTGATGGTGTTGTCTTGTACATCCAAAACACGCAGACTTGTCCCCTGGTTCAGGAGGAACCAAACAGCAAATTAGAATGCATCTGGATGAAGATGAAAGGTGAAAGATGTGGCACCAATACAGTGGTGGGAGTTGGTATAGGCCACCAGATCAGGAAGAGGAGGTGGATGAGGTACTCATCAAGCAAGTGACAAATTTAACTAAAAGCTATGGGATGGTGCTGATGGAAGACTTCAATTTTCAGGACATCTGCTGGAAGAACATTGCAACCAAACATAAAATGTCAAGCTGGTTCCTAACTTGTATAGAGGAAAATTTTCTCTGTTCCAGAAAGTGGAGGATACAAATAGTGTATCATCTATTTTAGATCTTGTCCTGACTAATAGGGAAGAATTGGTGGAAGATGTGAAGGTGATTGGCAACTTGGGAGGAAGTGATCATGATATGATAGATCCTGAGACAGGGAAAGCACATAAGGTCAGCAAAATTAGCACACTAGATTTCAAAAAGGCAGATTTAATCCAATTCAAGGAGCTAACAGGCATGGTATCATGGGAGGACAGACTGAAGGATAAAGGCACTTGGGGGGGAGGGGGGAGCTTCCAAGGGGCACAGTATTGGAAGTCACAACACAATGGAAGCACAAGAAGAAACCAATGTGGCTGCACAAAGAGCTTCTAAAATGCCTTGCAAAAGGAAAATATACAGCCAAGGGAAGAATGGGCAGGTCAACAAGGATGCATAATAGGAAGTAGCAAGAACCTGCAGGGACAAAGAATCAGGAAGACAAAAAGAAAGAATGAGCTGAACCTGGCAAAGGAAGTTAAGAACAATAAGAAGAGGTTCTAGAAGAATGTTGGCCAGAAAAGAAGGACCAAGAAAACTGTGGGTCCTCTGTTAACAAGCTAGGGAGAACTCTTACCTGAAGATACAAAGAAGGCAGAGCTACTCAACAGCTACTTTGACTTAGTCTTCACAAAAAATGTAAGCTTCCAGACACCTAATAGGGATTATCTGGATAAAGAAGGGGGAAAGCTGAGGGAGGAGATAACAAAAGAAATTGTTAGAAAGCTTTTGTTGGGTCTGGATGAATTCAAGTCAGCAGGGCTGGATGTGCTTCCTCCCAGGGTCCTGAAGAAACTGCAAGACAAGAACTTGGAGTCCTTGGCAATGATCTTCATTAAGTTGTGGGAGATGGGCCAGGTACCAGAGGACTGGAAAAGGGCCAACATAGTTCCCCCTTTTTAAAAGAAGGCAAGAAGGAGGACCTGGGGAACTACAAATTAATTAGCCTCACCTACATACCTGAGAAATTACTGGAGCATATTCTAAAGAAGGCCATCTGGTAAGCATCTGGAGGAGGAAAGGCTGACCACAAGCAGCCAATGTGGATTTGCCTATGAGAAGGTCATGTAGGACCTTATCAAAAGCCTTGCGGAAGTCCAGATACACAATATCCACAGCATTCCCTTCATCCACCCAAGGTGTTACTGTGTCAAAGAAGATCAAGTTTGTTTGACATGATTTGCTGTTATTAGTAAATTGGAGAAATGTGGGCTGGAAAAATTCCTACAAGGTGGATAGATAACTGGTTCAATAGTTGCAAGCAAGGGTAATTGTTAACAGGTGCATATCAGAACAGCAGGAAGTTTTGAATGAAGTCCCATGGGGGGGGCCCCAGTGCTGTACATGTTCATTAACAATTTGGATGCTGGCACAGGAAGCTTATTGAGCAAGTTTGCAGAGGACACAAAACTGGGAAGCATTGTGAACAGGTTGGAGTATGCAAGCACAATTCAGAAAGATCTCAACAGATTGGAAAGTGGGCTAGAGCTAAGAGGATGGAGTTCAGTGCAGACAAATGCACGATGCTGCACTTTAGGAGGAATAATCAAAAACACAAATATAAAATGGATAACATCTGGCTGGATGGAAGCTCTATGGAAAAGGACTTGGTAGTCTTGGTAGATCACAGACTCTATATGAGTCTGCACTGTGATGAAGCCACACAAAAATGCAAATGCGGTTTTGGGGTGTATCAATAGAAGCAAAGTGCAAGACATGGGAGGTGGCAGTGCCTCCCTACTCAGCACTAGTTAGGCCGCATCTGGATTGCTGTGGGCAGTTCTGGGCTCCACATAAAGGACATGGAGAAGTTAGAGAGGATCCAGAGGTGGGCAACAAAGCTGAACAAGGGTTTTGAAAGCAAGTTATATGAGGGTAAGCTGGACGAGCTAGGTGTGTTCAGCTTGTGGAAAAGGCACTTAAGAGGGGACATGGTAGCAGTCTTCAAATACTTGAAGGGTTGCCATAAAGAAGAGGCAAAGCACCTTTTTTCTCTTGCTGCAGAGAGGTGGATATGGACAAATAGACTCAAGTTGCAGCAAAGTAAGTTTAGATATCCTGAAAAACTTCTTCACTATTAGAATATTAGGGCAGTGGAATAGACTGCCTAGAGAAGTTGTGGACTCCCCTTCACTGGAAGTGTTCAAGAAGAGGCTGGACAGCCACTGGCCAGCAATATATCTAGGCATAGCTATGCCTATTTTCTACCATAGATACTTACCATGCTTCTGGGCTCCGCTGGTTGCTCCTGCCTCCCCCCACCCATTTTTTTTTTATGTTCTGTGTGTCCATACCCACAGAGGCATTGGGTGCTAGCTGCAGCTAAGGCTGGGGACGTCAACTGGGGCATGCCAATCCTCCTGCTAGGAGCAAAGCTGGAATTTCCTGGCTAGAGGATTTTTCCCCTCTGCTCAGGGTCACACCAATCATCATATTTGGGGTCAGGAAGGAATTTTACCTCATGGTCAGATTGGTATGGGTTATGGGGGGTTTTGTCATCCTTTGTAGCAGGGAACATGGCCCTTTATCTGGGACCTTTTGATCATATATTGACAACAGTTTATAGAAGCAGGACATTGGTTGTCATAGTTCCTCTGCTTTACCTGTGTCAGGTTAGGTTATTAGGTCTATGTTGTGTCAGGGCTGATGATAGTCTTATGCAGAGTTTAGATTATGGTTGTATGGGATGGTTTAGATACAGATGATCCTGTCTCAGGCAGGGGGGGAGTTGGTCTAGGTGACCTCTGAAGGTCCCTTCCAGGCCTACTTCTGTACGATTAGTAACAATATTTAGAACTCATAAGTATATCTAATTTGTCAGTAAACCATTTAATGTCAGCTCCTGGAAATCAGGTTAATTGATGATTATTGAAATTCAGCCTGTTACAATTTTAACATCCAATTTCACAAAAAATTAATACTACACTGAAATAATGTAAAGAATTATAATGTTATAATGTACTGATTTGAAGCTGCCATGCAGTAAGAAGTCTTAACCAATGGGCGTGATCATCCTCAACCATGTGGGATCATCCTCAACCACTCCAGTAAGACACACAATGACTATGACTTTTTAAAATACTTTAATATAGCCTACAGGATATACCACAACTGTTCCACTGCCTGATGCATTATTTTTGGTTAATTATTTTCTATGCCTCTTTTCAAGAATATCAACATTCAAATTAATTTTGATTAACATGTTCATACCTGGATAAGGGATTTTTCCATAAGTAACAATTTCATACAGGAGAATTCCAAAAGACCACACATCAGACTTGATTGTAAAGGAACCATAGTTAATTGCCTCTGGTGCTGTCCATTTTATAGGGAACTTTGCACCTACAAAACAATACACACTCAATTTATCAAGGTATAAGTTGCTTGGATATGTTTTTGTAACACTTAAAAAGTCAGTCTTAATGAACTTTTATTATTACCCACTATTATTTCCATAAAGAATTGGGTGTACAATGAACAATTCAAACAAAACCCTACTAGTAGTTTTAGGAACCTCAAAAGGTACTAACAAGTCTTCCTGTCCAACAGTCGTCATGCTTCTCCTGGCAGCCTCAGAGGTTAAGAATTTAAGATGGAGTTTTTCAAAGTAATCTAAGGGCTAGGCAATCTAACATCCGTAGTCTCTTTTAAAAATCGTAAGTTCAGCGTGGAATTTCAAAGGAGACAAAGGACATTAGAGCACTGTGGTTCTTCGAGTTAAACATATGTTCTCTTCCTAGTGGAGGCTTAGGATCCATTAGTGGGACAATACAAGAACCACCTCAGATACATACCATACACTGCACCTCTGTGAGTTAACCAAAGATCTCATTCACTTGTGCTGTCAATGTGATAACTCTCATCAATATTACACTTAAAAATTTAGACTAGAGGACCTACGGAAGTCAGACTAGAAGATCTATGGAGGTCCCTTCCAGACCTACTTCTTTATGAAAAAATGAATACAAAATGCTTAACAACCTGGAAAACTATTTCCATTTAACTTCTCATGGGTAGGGATCAAAAGTGTAAGTGAAAAGCTAAACTTTACATGTAATATGTTGACTCTCAGATGCACTGAAACATCATTACACCTAAATAATGTTCCTTCTTTCCAATACTAAGGGGACAATCTTTGTTCCACAAGCAGGATTATTGTCCTTGAAAAGAAGCCTGCAGTGTTAAGCAGAAGTCTATTACTAATATAATCTTTAATTGATTGCATCTTATGTTTCATGTTCTGTTATGATTACAATTTTTTTGTATAATGTCTTTCACTTCTGGTAACTGATTCCTGAGGGTCCATCAAAGGACACCTAAATAAAATATTTCCATAATTTAATGGGAAAAATTCAAAGGGAATAGGACGTTATTTTTTAAGACAAAAGAGCAATTCAAGAACTACCCCTTTTCATGCAAGGCTTTGGATAAGCTACGGAAACTGGGAAAATGCCCATAAACTTTGGAAGTAGCTACTTTGTTAGGATGCATGGAAGCGAATGTAAGTTTTGGGATGTTCAAGAATGATATACCCCCATGGTTTATTTAGTTAATATACAATACCCAAAGCTGGCTAATAAGCAAACTTCTTTCTCCACATTACTTATTCTGAAAAATTCATTTGGTTCTTCCTTCCTCCCCTTTCTTAATGAATAGGTATTATTTACTGACTCCTTAGTACTCTGCCTTCCTTTTACCCTAACTGATGCCTTGGGTTATTCTTCTTCTTTGCACATCAGTGTCCCATTTACTGTCCTCAATCAGAGGTTTCCAAAGCATAGCCTACAGGCCAAATGCAGCCTGTAAGGGCCTTTTGATACAGTCCTCAGCCCTGTAGTCTTTAAAAAACAAACAAACAAACAAAAAAACAAAAGAAAAACCCAGTTACCAGGGACTCCTGAAGTGTAGCCCACAGGCTAAATGCAGCCCATAAGCACCTTTGATGCAACCTACCCACCCAGGACTGCCCGTTTGAAATGGACCTTCAGGACCAAAGTTTGGGAACCACCATCCTAAATGATCAATTTCTAGCTATGCAACAACATGTGTACTGTTTCTTATAAAACTAGCAGAAAAGCCAGGCAGGAACCAAGCTGGGAAGCCAAGAGACAGCAAACCAAGGGGTCCATAGCCAGGCAGGCCGACTCATGAGTCACAAGGTGGTGGTTTTATTTTTTGTTTTAGATCAAGGATACATGACCTCCATCCACATGGACTATGTGTAGAAGTACAGACTAATGGTGCATCTGTTAAAGCTAGTTTAAAAAGGTACTTTTCACATGTACTTGTGACAAAAATTAGCAAAAACATAGTACATAAAACCCCCAAACAACCTCCCTGTATGTAGGCTTCATTTCTTCACAGATCCTGGCCTTGCTAAGAAGTTCATTCCTATGACAGAATACCATAAGGAGTAAACAGCCTACCACACACATTGCCCCACTGCTATTTCATTGCCTTAAAGAGAACATCCACGTGAGGATGGCAGAATTGTCATAGCTCTGCAAAGGTTTTTTTCCCCCTGGCTCCACCAGGGGAAAAAAATACCATAGATATTCCCATTCCATAAAAAGAAGGGTGTATAGGGGTGCATCTCAGATAGGCACTTCCGCTTACAATAAATGGAACATTTTAACTGAGTTCTGGAGACAAAACCCAGTTCACGTTCTAATTCAACAGACAAAAAAAATAATGGGTGATATCAAATTAGTAAAAGCAACCAAATTTCAGGAAACAAAAACCAGGATATAGTCCCAAATGATTTACAGACCACTAGAACCAGAAGTAGTCTAGTCTTATGCCACTTGCAGTTTTGGTTAGTATAGCTAAGTATGGTACCATGGTGCTGCAGGTAGCCTGAGCATCATCACTAATTCACCCAGGTGTAGTTCTGGGTGAACATAGCTACAGCAGTTTCAGTTCACAAAGCAGCCTGCAGCTGTCTCCCAAACTGGAAGCAGCAGAGTCTTGCTCAAAGTGTTTCTTCTCAGCAGATTCAGTAGGATGTGGCCAGAATATTTGGACAGTTCCAGATCAATACAACAAATCGGGGACTGTCTAAGGACACCATAACACAACCCTAACATTCAGGACTGTCCCAGAGACTTTAGGAGAGTCAGTCACTTTACAAATTAATCAGTGTGATTTAATATTTTTAGGTTGTATTGCTCATAAAGGTGACACAAATGGTACTTTTCAAATGTTCTTGTTGTCTAGACCAGAGGTGTTAAAAATACAGCCTGAGGCCAGATCTGGCCCACGGAACCACTCTATCCAGGCCACTTGGCTACCGGCAGGCTGCTGGAAGTTAGGAAGTGGCTTGCTGCAGAATCCAGGGCCTTGGTGGACATGGTGATTGGCAAGTGAGGACTGATCCAGGCCCTGGTCACCCCCAGCCATTTTACCTGTCCCCGCTGCCACAGTCTTGCCCCCCGACCACTGGACCCTGCCATGCGCCAGAGCTGATGCCATGCCTTCGGGCATGTGGCAATGGCAGCTTTGGCTCCAGCACGGGGCATGCTGTATGGGGTGGACTGTGTAAGTTTTTACACTACACTTTTTTGTTTCGTTTCCAAATGCAATGCTAAGTTAGTTGTTAATCATAAAAGGAGTATTTTACAGTGTTAAAAAAATAGAAAATTATACCCACCTTCCCTTGCTGTGTATTCATTATCTTCGATTACTCTTGCTAATCCAAAATCAGCTATTTTGCACATGAGCATATCTGAAACCAGAACATTTGCTGCCCTCAAATCTCGATGAATGTAGTTTTTTCTTTCAATGTATGCCATTCCCTCTGCAATCTGTAACAAGAGGAAGTGCTTTAATTTTGGTATTTCTGCAGTGTATATATAAATCTATATATTCATATAGATATCTATATATTTACATTTATATCTAGATGAGGGCAAGGTACCCGTCTAGCAACTTTTACCATACAGGCCCCACCTTGCAAGCCTTCACCTACAACAGTAACCTGAGTGATCTCAAGATAATTGCTTGTATGAAGCATGCATTGGCAAGATTAGACCCTTCATAGCCATGCCAAGAATTATACTTCCCAATTCAGGGCAATGAAGAATGTGTGAAAGTCCCACAGAATTCAGTTTTGAGCATACGTAATTGCTCTACTGAATCAAGATCTTACATTAATAAGGATATATAAATATGTTGTAAGATCCCTTCTTAAAATATTCCCTACCTAAAAAAAAAAAAAAAAAGTCATTAACTGGTGATAAATTAAGATGCTCAAAAATAAAATAGGATTTAAAAATAAATAAAAGGCCTGTACAGGTTTTCCTGTTATGGAACCCCTTTTAAGAGGAGATTAGGCAAGAAAGCACACTTGCAAGTCATTTGCAAGAAAGCTGCAAGTTAATATTTAATATAAGCCTAACATTTTCACCTGTGATTTGAAGGGAGCTGACTACTGGAAAATCAAATATTTCATGCTTATTCTTACTTGCAGCATGCATCTGTGCATACAAGAGGAATGCTTAGAAGATTTGGCTCTCACATACCATACTTTCATAAAACAAACAAAGAAAAACTACTTTTATTTCACCTCTGTCAAAACCAAAATTGAAAGTGATGAGACTCATAATATCTTCCATCTCAGGGAAGATTTTTAGCATTTGCCTAATTATTAATGCATGTTTAAAAATAAGAAGTCAAAACCTGGGGTGGTAAAAATCATTAGTATTTATATACTACCTAAACATATGCAAGGAACTGCAAAGGATGAAAATAAAATGTGTACAATTGGTCTTATACAGTTAGGTTTTTCCTTCTCAGACAGGAAAAGTCCATTGCAAAACAGGAACCCCAATGCACTCTGCTCTACTACTGCAGTTTTCAAGTTGGATGTTATGGAACAGAAAAAATAGTCTGTTCTGTCTGTGAGGGGAAGGAGAACACAGAGGTCCTTTCCCAGTCTCAATCCTTGGCACACCCATGCATTAACCATGCCTTCCTTAACACAGAATAAGTCAGCTCTGCTCTGAGCAAAGTGAGGCTGCCCTCCAGCTGCCTCATGTGTCCAGGGCTAGGGATAGAAGTTACACAAACTAGTATAAGTGACTGGAAACCGGTTCAAATTTGTAACAAAACAGAAGTTCAGTGTACATAAACTACTTTCAAATTGGCCAAAACTAATTTAAGATCTACTTGGATAGATGTAGTATCAGACTGAACTGATTTAGTTTAAATCAATTTATTGACCTTCTGTCCCAGTTCCCCTCTAGATTCAAGTTAATTCTCAGTCCCCTGGCATCCCAGGATGCTTTCCCCTGCAAACCCTGCCTCTCCCCAGTCTCAGAGTATGCAGCCTAGCCTTGGCCTAAACTGTCTGCTCCAGCCAAGCAGAGAGGCATGCTCCAGCACCCCCAGCTTCTGGCCTGAGCCACTGCAGGCGTGTGGCTGCACTTCCAGAATTCAAAGAGAATGTCTGTTTACCTGCTTATTGGTTCCATCTACACAGGTTAGACTAACCTGCAAAGACCGAATCAATTCAGCCTTGGGCTTTTTGACTGCTTGTACTTAGCCCAGGGCTTTGCTCCCTTTAGAGCCACACAGTGGAATGGAGGTGAGCATCTGACTATTACAAAAAAAAAAAAAATAAATAAAAAATCATGATCACCACTTCTGCTAATCTAGCTTCAAAAAGTCCCTGAAGGGCAAAGCAAATGCCTGGGCCAGCATTTATGCACAGATCAGCAACAGCACATTCTCTTTGTTCCTCTTTTTGGGGTCAGGCAATGGAAAAACAGCACTCTCTCCCTCACCTCCCCAACCCCAATCATGAGCATTTTCTTATAAACCAATGAACTGCTGATGATGATAAAGTTAAGTTTCAGTTGCAGAACAGAAATTAAAAGGTTCTCAGGCTGACCTGGGAAATATGACCTTTAACAGATTTATGATAACAAACAGCATCTCTGTGTGTTGTGTTTATTAAAAGAGGAATTCTGATTGAAAAACTGCCTCTTAAGGTCTTGGTTGGAGACCTACAGGCTGGCAGAGCGTGTGTTAGGATATTGACCTGCATGCTCCAGATCCATGACTTAGGTTTTAGAAGGAAGGAGGGATCAATGTGAAGGTCTAACTAAGAACAAAGCTATACCTGATCCTAATGTTGTTGCATTTGATGTGAAATAACACAAGTGAATGCA